TATTTCCCTCAGTTTTTGAGAACCAAGGTATCAATCCAATAGGAGGCTACGCGCGAGTCCCTCGTACCTGCACAAAAGAAATAACTCCTCGCAACCAACGCGATAAGGGGTTGTCAATCCCTTCCCGGTCACTTAAGAGAGTAAGATCTGATAGATATGATAAGATAAAATTTTTGGTATTTTTGTGATAAAGATGCAAAGTAAAATAAAAGTAAATTTAAAAGCAAAGGAAAGAACTAAGTATTGGAAGATTAATATGATGAAGATAGACCCGGGGGCCATAGGTTTCACTAGTGGCTTCTCTCGAGAGCATACATATTTTACGGTGGGTGAACGAATTACTGTTGAGCAATTGACAGAATTGAGTATAGTTATGAGAATATCTATGTATGATCATGTATATAGGCAGCACGTCCGAGACAAGTAGACCGACTCCTGCCTGCATCTACTACTATTACTCCACTCATCGACCGCTATCCAGCATGCATCTAGAGTATTAAGTTCATGAAAACAGAATAATGTCTTAAGCAAGATGACATGATGTAGAGGGATAAATTCATGCAATACGATAAAAACCCCATCTTGTTATCCTTGATGGCAACAATACAATACATGCCTTGTTGCCTCTACTGTCACTGGGAAAGAACACCGCAAGATTGAACCCAAAGCTAAGCACTTCTTCCATTGCAAGAAAGATCAATCTAGTAGGCCAAACCAAACTGATAATTTGAAGAGACTTGCAAAGATAACCAATCATACATAAAAGAATTCAGAGAAGATTCAAATATTGTTCATAGATAATCTTGATCATAAACCCACAATTCACCGGTCTCAACAAACACACCGCAAAAAGAAGATCACATCGAATAGATCTCCACAAGAGAGAGGGAGAACATTGTATTGAGATCCAAAAAGAGAGAAGAAGTCATCTAGCTAATAACTATGGACCCGAAGGTCTGAGGTAAACTACTCACACTTCATCGGAGGGGTTATGGTGTTGATGTAGAAGCCCTCCGTGATGGATGCCCCCTCCGGCGGAGCTCTGGAACAGGCCCCAAGATGGGATCTCGTGGATACAGAAGGTTGCGGCGGTGGAATTAGGTTTTTGGTTTCGTATCTGATCATTTAGGGGTACGTAGGTATATATAGGAGGAAGGAGTACGTCGGTGGAGCAACAGGAGGCCCACGAGGGTGGAGGGCGCGCCGGGGGGGAGGGAGGGTAGGCGCGCCCCCTACCTCGTGGCCTCGTCCTTTATTTCTTGACGTAGGGTCCAAGTCTACTGAATCATGTTCGGTGAAAAAATCACGTTCCCGAAGGTTTCATTCTGTTTGGACTCCGTTTGATATTCCTTTTCTTCGAAACCCTAAAATAGGCAAAAGAACAACAATTATGGGCTGGGCCTCCGGTTAATAGGTTAGTCCCAAAAATAATATAAAAGTGGATAATAAAACCCAATAATGTCCAAAACAGTAGATAATATAGCATGGAGCAATAAAAAATTATAGATACGTTGGAGACGTATCACTCGCGTGGCGCTATGGGCGACGATCTGCGCCGCTGCATGAGGGAGAGAGCGACGGAAAAGGAATTTTCTGTTACATCTCGTGAATACCAAACATACCCTCGGGTGTGCGGGATTTGTTTCCCACCTCTGCCCATTTTTGCCCCTTTACTAGAAAATACTACCCCGATTCTCTGGTACTATTGATAAATCAATGCCTTTGAATCGCTAGAATGGATGGCTCATATTTACTTGGATGTACCGTAAAAGGTCTTTAATGGTTCCTGGTTCTTTCTCCCTCTTCTTTCCTCCTTAGCAGTCGTCATGTCTCTTTAATCGCCCACTTGCAAGAAAACAAAGTGGCTCCTTTCTCTATGTCATCCTTCTCATCCAAAAGCATCGTCGTTGTTACAAAAATTTGTCATCTCCCCAAACTTTAGGAAACCTATGGAAGGGTCCTCACGTAATGTCAAACCGGTGTTACGAGACATGCTGGAAGATGAGAGTTCGGATGTTCGTGGGAGTGAACCTTTGGATCCATGGACTTTTTATTTTTGGACTTGATTGCTTGCTCCATAATGGTTTTCCTCTTCTGCTTCATTTGGCTCCTAGATATCTGCCTGTCCCATGGTTGCCTCATTTCTTGGTATGGGAAAGGTATGGCCAAACGAAGTGATTGGACGGATAGGAGCCCAGCTCACTAGGGATCAAACCTCATATTTGACGCTTTGGTGTCTCATAAAGACATAATATTTTTATAGTGAAAGGCGATATTTTTGTCAATAATGAGATGCCTGTGGTGACATCATCAACTTTAAGACCCGTCAGCTTAGTCTTTCGAATGTGCTTATAGGGGAACGGTGTGTATGTGTGCGTTCATAGGATAAGTGTATGTACGTATTTGTGAGCGTCTGCATCTGGACTGTGTTTCTTTAAAAAATACATTTTTTGGTAGTTCAATTCTTTTTATTTTGGCAGGGAAGTTGTTCAAGTCTTCAACAAAACATCATTTTGAAGCATATTCTTTAATACATTAATAATCTACTTTGTTGGTTTTCAATTTAATATTATGATTTAATCGATTTGTTTCACTACTACTTTATTCAAGGTAGTATTCATTTTACAAATACTTTCTTGGACATGAATATGTCTATGCTACTTTTTTCTGAAAGTCAGTCGTCTCTGCTATTAAGGAGGGGCGTTGTCCCGAGCAGCTACGTGGGCACTCGAGGTTCTCATCCCTTCCATGGACTCAGACCATAGGATGCCATCGCCCTCAGGAGTTCTTCCCTTCCATTGACTCAGACCGACCATAGGATGCCATCGTCCTGAGCGCAACGCTGAGGAATTGTATCCCGTTCTTTCATTCAAGATTAGATCGGAACCCAAGAGTTCATGAGATACTACTAGTAGTCTTCGCTGTAAAATGGATGGACCTGGATGAACTAGATACGAGACACCGTCAGGGTCAGAGCTGCCCAAGAAGTCCATGGATTCCTTGAAAAGATGAAAGGGAGATCTCACTCAGCGAAAGTGTCCTGCTTCCTTCCAGTCCACGTGCTCTGGCCCCGCCCGCACGACACGCTGCCAAAGATGTCATTCAAGAAAGCAGTGTGCTACTCACCGCAAGCCTCCGATTGCTACTACTTTGCCAGACACGCCCGTTCTCCCTGTAGCTTTCTGCCCGGCATCTCCACACCGTCCCAAGAAAAATCGTAACAATGGCGAGCTATTTATGGGTCGTGCTCGTGCGTGTGCTTCTTCAAGGCAAACGCAAACGCTGCAAGTGTGGCGAGCACTGGTGGCAAGGAACTATGCAGCAGTCTGTGCTAGCCCTTGGTCTGCTCCTGCTGCTGCTGAGCCTCGACGCAGTGGTGGCCTTGGCGGCGGAAGACGACCAGTTCGCCTACCAAGGATTCGCCACGGCGAACCTCACGCTGGACGGCCTCGCCACCGTCATGCCCAACGGCCTCCTGCTGCTCACCGACCCGGTCTGAGATAACCAGACAACAGGCCATGCCTTCCACCCCACACCACTCCGCTTGCTCCGAAGTTCCACCACGACGAACCGCACCGCCATGGCGCGCTCCTTCTCCACATCCTTCGTGTTCGCCATTTCGTCCAGGTACGATGGCCCGACCGGCTATGGGCTTGCGTTCGTGGTCGCCCTGACCTCGAACCTCTCAGCTGCCAACAGCGGGCCGTACCTTGGCCTCCTCAACGCGACCAACGGCACGGCAAGCGATCACATCTTGGCGGTCGAGCTCGACACCATCATGAACATCGCGTTCCGTGACATCAACAGCAATCACGTCAGCATCGACGTCAACAGCCTCATCTCACGGCAGGCCAAGCCGGCCGGGTACTACAGAAATGAGAACGGCGCCTTTCAACAGCTCAATCTAAACAGCCGCCAACTGTTCCCAGGTCATTGTTTTGCTTTAACTATAACTTTCATCAGGTCAAAATATTTTAGCGGATTCAAGTGAAATTCATTGATTTCGGCTATGGCTGAAATATTTCTGAAACTAAAATTCAAAACATTGTGCAGGTGTGGGTAGACTATGACGCCCAGGCCAAGCGACTCAACGTGACATTAGCACCTGTGCAGGTACCAAAGCCAGAAAATCCTCTGCTCTCAGAGGTCATTGATCTCTCCACAGTCACGGCGGACAAGATGTACGTCGGGTTTACGGCTTCCGAAGGTAAGGTCGATCGCACCCACCACTATGTCCTTGGATGGAGCTTCAGTTTGGATGGACCTGCCCTACCGCTAGACTTTTCCAAGCTTCCCACCCTACCACGCCTAGGTCCCAAGCCTCAGTCTAAGATCTTGGATGTCATACGACCATTGGCCACGGTATTGCTTGCGATTGCAGTGGTAGCAGCCGTATTCTTCTTCTTGTGGCATCGGCACCGATCTGCCGAGGTGAGAGAAGATTGGAAGGATGAGTTCGGCCCACATCGTTTCGCATACAAGGATTTATTTCATGCCACTGAGGGGTTTTTGGGTAGGAATTTACTTGGAGTTGGAGGATTTGAAAGGGTGTACAGAGGATTGCTTTCCGCGTCCAATTTGGAGGTTGCGGTGAAGAGGGTGTCACATGATTCAAAACAAAGACTAAGGGAGTTCCTTGCGGAGGTGGTGAGCGTTGGCCGTCTCCACCACCGGAATCTCGCACGGTTACTAGGCTACTGCCGCCGAAAGGATGAACTTCTCTTGATTTGTGAGTACATGGAAAATGGTAGTCTTGACAAGTTCTTGTATACTCAAAATAAGCCGGCTCTACATTGGTCCGAGAGGTATCAGATCATCAAAGGTGTTGCATCAAGCTTGTTGTATCTTCATGAGGAATGGGAGCAAATTGTCATACATCGAAATATAAAGGCTAGCAATGTCCTCTTGGACAGTAGTTGAATGGACGACTCGGTGATTTTGGTCTAGCAAGGTTGTACGACCATGACACAGTTTCTAAAACAACACATGTGGTGGGTACCATGGGGTACCTTGCACCGGAACTTATATGCACCGGGAAGGCAACACCCTTAACCGATGTGTTCGCATTTGGTGTGTTTCTCCTTGAGGTCGCATGTGGGCGTAGGCCAATCAACAGTAGCAAGGATATCACAGAGTTAGTGTTGGTTGAATGGGTGCTAGAACATCACTGCAACGGCTCAATTCTTGACGTGGTCGATCCACGTCTCATGGGGAATTTCAACACAGAGGAAGCCACCCTCCTGCTCAAATTAGGTTTGTTATGCTCTTACCCATCTGCCAATGCAAGGCCTAGCATGCGAAAAGTCATGCAATATTTGGATCATGACCAGTCAATCCCTGACCTGGCTGCAACCTACATGAGTTACGGCACAATAGCAATGATGGAGAATGAAGGGTTCAATTCGTACATGATGTCCTGCCCTTCATTGAATACGAGTATTTGTGTTGTATCTAGTGAGTCTTCGGTGTCGATTTTTGAAGAGGGAAGGCGAATGCTTGTAATGTACTCCTCTTTTTTTGTTCTTCTCTTAATGTTCCTTTAAGCACTTGTAATCTCTACTCCTAATGCTTGAGTTGGTTGAATAGTATGGTTTATTTTTGTCCCATCACTTTCAACCGTTTTTTTTCGCTGTTTTTTTTCGTCCCCTCCCCTCATCCCATGGGTTTATTTCCGCATCATCTCTCACACAACGAAAAAAAATCTGAATGAATCAGAACTTTCCATACTGACGAAAATTATTTAGTAATGTCTTTATGTGCAAGAATCAATCACGATCAATCTCTAAAGATCAAATCTAAATTAATTAACCTTGACATAAATCGATCAATCACATTAATTAATCTTTATGCGAAGAAAAGGAAGCATCCTCATCTAAAAAAGGGAAACATCTTTCTCCTCTCTACCAAACAAACTGCCCACCCCTTTTTTGACTCTTGAGCGAGGGCTAGGGGTGTGTTTGGTTTGTGCCCCAACTAGCCCCACCAAAATATTGGCATGACCAAAGCGAGGGCATGACAAAAAATTTGGTAAGATGGTGTCGTTTGGTTTATAGCCATTGTACATGCCAAAATTTTGGTAAAGTTGCTGGACTTCGTTTGGTTTGGAGCCAACTGAGTTTGCGTTGGGTTAGTGTTTGGTTTGATTCTACTCGTAGTTTTGTTGAGCTGCTAAAAGAGTGAGACAAGGACTATAGGACCTTTTCACAACAAAAGGAAAAATTAACCAAGGGATTATAAGGTTAGCCGGACTAAAATCCACGGCAATGAAAACACAATTAGGAAACAAATCGCTGCAACTAATAATAGGTGAGGACTGCTTTGGACTACGGAGGCACCACCGGCATATGCATGGCGCGCGTGGAGCGAGTCTCACGCAGAAAAAGGCTGCAGTTAATTAGGGAGGCAAACAACCAATTTAATCAGTAGCTGTGCGACAGCGCGTGGAGCTTTAGATTCAGTTAGCGTTAATTTGGCCGGATAATCCGCATGCCATTCGTTATAATACAGCATATTCACGTACGGAAGAGCGGGCGTCGAACTCGCCAATTTTTTGACGAACGTTTTCCGCGCCGACGTTGCGCCAACAGATTGGCGAAAATAACATGGGAAGGTCCTGGGCGTGCTGGGCGAGCCAAAATTTTGGCCCCAATCCAAACGATAGCCAAATCATACGGGCACGCCAAATTTTTGGTGCGGTCATCGTTGGTTGTAAACCAAACGCACCCTAGGTCTCCTGCACCCGTCGCCGCCACATATGATCTCCGGCGACAGGAGATCCTGCCCTCCGGTGGATCGGCTTCACCCTCCCCTGTATCCCCAGTCCCTTCGCCGCTTTCCCGCACACTGTCCCGACACCACTCCCACCCACGCCCACCGATGCTGCCCCTCCCACCTCGCCCCGCCCCCGTCCCCAAATCTGCCCCGGTGCCACTCTCCCATGAGGCTGGTCATAGTGGGGAGTAACTTAGACTAGTAACATACATATGTTACTAGTCTATGTTACTACCTTCATAGTGGGTAGTGTCATAGATATGGTAACATAGTTGCCTTCATTTATTACTTTGTAGACTCATTATGCATTGGAAACCGCTATGTGATGGTAACATATTATGTTACTCTATTTGCCTCTCTCCTCATTAACTACTTGCCACATCATCATTTTTGCTTATGTGGCATCTATGTTACTACCTATGTTACTCCCACTATGACCAGCCTGAGCCCCTCGTGGGTACCGGTCCTTCCTCCTCTCCCCGCCCATGTCCCCAAATCCTCCCCGGCGCCACTCCCCGAGGAGCCCTGGTGGGTCGCTGCCCGACACCTTTTTTGCTTCGAATTCAATCGTGGGTTCACCTGGGTGTGCCTCTTTCTCCATGGGTTTTGAGTTCTGGGCGAGGATTGTGACCGTGAGGATGCAGACGACGTCGCGGTGCACCCGACCGAGGACGAGCTCGTGTGTGGTGTGCCACGGCCAAGGGGTGCAGGTACGTGACTCTGCTTCTCTACCTGCCTACTTGTTTGTGCCCCGCTCCATAGTTTAGATAATGTTGAGTCGAGCTGAGTTGAGGGGAGTTTTTGTTGTTGAACATACGTGTAAAGTCCATCATGGAACAATGGATGTCAATGGGATTTTAGTTTTCATTTTCTTTACCGAGATTGAATTTAGTGTTCTTGACCACTACATGTTCAATATAAATAGTATAGAAGATTGATTAATTGACTGCGCCTTACAAACTGGGAGATATATTCTTCCCATTTAAGCTTATGTTTTGCAAACTGGAAATGGAAACTAACAATCATTGCTTGTTTTCTGGCGTGAAATGTAGATTGTGAAATCTTGCTGCCATCTAGGTGAAATGTCTGTGCAAGTATTGTCCAGCAGTTTGAGATCTCGGTCAATGTGGAGGTGCCCTGCCACGACATGATGTTAGATGCAGCAACTACGACTATGGTTGCGTCTGTGGCTGGCAAAAAAAGGCGGCCGAGACATCCTTGGTGTAAAGTTTACATGGTAATCATGAGCTGATTTTCTAATGTGCGTGATGTCACACCGGAGAATGTTGGCGGTCTTGATTTGTTGAAGAAACAAATTGACTGGTGCATTCTTCATTGTATAAAGCACCCCAATGTTTACAAGGTAATCACATAAGTTGTGTTATGCGCCACGTTCTTCTGTTTGTTGTGTTATCTGGTCATCACAGTGATTGGTAGTTTAAAAGTTTAAGTGACCTCTGAATTCGTCCTAAAGGTGGTCTATAGACATTTGTGCTTCTTATATGCATTTTATAAGTTGTAGCAGGGCACCTGATTGCTTAAAATACTAAGTATTCATAATTGTTTTCATGCTCCCCTTTTGCTGTCTGCCTTTGAAGGATTTGAGTGAGCTTGCAAGTTGGTTTCTGCTGTTTGGACCTTCAGGCTATGGGAAGACACAAATGGCAATTGGTTTTGAGATTTTCATATTATTAATGCTAGATTTCTTTTGTGTATAGAATGTTGAGATGTTACCTTTTCCTGAGCTGTTGAACAAGTATATTGGGGATAGTGAATCAGGAGCACAGTGGCGGATCAGGAACGAGTGGTGCTGGATGGACGAGAACTACGCTTCAATTGCTTCAGAAGCACACTGGCGAGGTATGTGCCTCTCCTTCTCGCACACATGTCAACATGTGATTTTTTAAGAAGCTAATTCGGTGTGGCAAGAACATCATACTTTAGACATGGTTTTGCGGATCGATGTGCTTTGTCCATTTTTCCTTCAGGAAAGAATTGCATTTTCTCTGAGAATGTGCCTTCAACACACTTCCAAGTTGCCAACCATCATCAATTGTAGTCTCAAATCAGATCAATAGGAATGCAAATTTTATCTGAGAATGTGCAACAAAAACACATTATATTGAAATCCCAATACCAATGCCTTTGAGAAGTAGCTGTGAACCCTCAATTATTTCTTGCGAAAGTAAACATATTTGACCACATAGTTTTTTTTGTAAATTTAGATCATACTACTTATTGTTCTCCGAGCTCTATAATAATATTTATCCTTAATCTTTTTGTGTAGACAACTCCTCAATACCATGTTTACTATTTTGATAAAGTTAGAGAAACTACCAGGGAAGTAATGCCTTGCTTGGTGTTGATTTCCTACAATTAGCAAGGGTAAACAAAAAATCTGAGTGCAGACATAAAAATTTAGGTGTACTCAGTGTTGTAGTGAGCAGAGACCGAGATACAATTAATTGAGCACCTGGGCCTCCACGACCTCTACAACACTGCCTATGTGTGCTCCCTTTCAGACTTCCCTTCCCAGCTTTATTTTTGTAGCTCCGCCACTTCTCAGAGATGGTCAGGTTCACATTGTTGGAAGTGAAATTGCATCTAACAGAAACTTCTTGCATTTTCTAATTTCAGTGATGATAGGACACATTCCCATTTCCCTCTAACATGTGGAGATAAGGAAATCGTAGTAGGAAAGGAAAATAACAATTTCCCATCAAGCTGCCATATATTTCACTTCAATGGTTGCAGACCTATTGTTGATTTCTCTCTAAGTTCCCTGAGGCATTTATTCTTCAGGATCATTAGTACTTAGAGATGCAGTTGTCGCCAAGAGTTTAGTAATTATTGGAGGCGTGATTAAGAAGCTACATGGTATACTGAGGTTTTGCTTTTCTAACACTGTTGCACACTTTGCATTTTATTGCTTGTTGTATATTAAAATGAGTACAACCCAGATTTATTGATATGTCTCGTTAAAAATGAATTGTTCGTTAAAACACACACACACACACACACACACACACACAAGTGGAGCTCCTTCAAATGTACTGTACTTGATAGTGTTCCCAAGTTATGTTAGAGTAAGGGCGGATCAAGAGATATGCCAATTTGTCTTCTTGAAGTGAGATGGTGGTTTAGGAGACACCATGACCGCCAGGAGAAAATATGCAAGGAAGAGAAAGTATTTGAGTTTATTTTATTATAGTGTTAGAACTTGTCTCCTCATAACACAGAGGTCAGCCCAGCTTTTTCATAAAACAGAGTTTTGTATCAGCAACAAATGGTTGAACTGTTGGAGGTATAGTGAAAGTGATTGCAAGTTCACATAATAACATGTATATAAGTTTTGTCCTTTATCTCCATATATATTCTTTATTGTGGCCTGGCGACCGACTCGGCATCCCTGTCGCCATTGCTACAGCATGGCTCCTCCCAGTTTGAGAGATTCACGTGGTGATCACTGATACACAGCTGCAGCCGGAGGTGCTGTCCATAGGTGAAGCATCAACCTGCCATTCGTGAGCCGTTAGGAGCTGCTGCGTCGCACTGCCAGAGTGATCGCCGCCGTTGTTTGTCGGAGCAGAGCCATGCATGTCATGCGCGTCTCGCTGGAGTAAAGCCATGGCTGTAGTCAAACACACCTGACTACGGTGCTATGAGGAATGAAGGACAACCTGGACGTTGGATGTCAGGGCAGGGTTGAGGTAGAGGAACTTGAATGTATCTTCGAGCAGGACGCGGTCAGTCGGTTCGGCCTGGGTACTGA